CGCATAGCCAACAATAGACAACAATGGGCCTAACTACAAAGAGAGTATCTAAATATGTGAGGGAGGCTAGACCATAGTTGGAAATGGTTGAATAAGCTGAAAATTATGATGATATTTTTCTTTTAGTAAATGGACGTGTATAATAACATAATTAAAATACCAATTTAAGCCTCGAAAGCGGCTGGACCAATTTCAATCAAGTCGGAAAAAAGAAATCAAAAAAGGACTCATTTTTAATGGGAACTAATATAAATATTTCTTATTCTTTTTTATTTTCTGTAGTTCCTTATAAAATTTTCCCTCTAATCTTTTTACCCCACGCAATTTAAGATATCTTATTTGAAATGTCATCCCACGCTTATATCTATCTATAGGAGAACCGTAATAAAACGACGTGTTTCGGTATCCCTTGGCTGAAAATTTCTTATTGGAAGTTAAAGTTCCGAATTAAAAAAGTTTTTCGCTTTTTCCGTTAATTCCCTTTAATATAAATAAGTCTTTAAGACCTTTTTTTGCTGATCAACCGAGAGCTGAAAGCCATTTTAAATTTTAATCTCGGTTTTAATAATAAAGATCGCAACTGTGGTTAGAGAGGGATAGAGGGATTAGAGGGGGAAGAAGTGAGATTCTTTGTTTCTACACATTTTCTTTTCTACTTTATAGGACTAAACAGGGGAATAAATATTAACTAGTAGCTCTGACCTGGCTAACTAGTTAATATTTATTAATCAACGAATACACAACAAATCAGAGATCATTAAAATCCGTCCAGGGCCGAATTCCTTAACTTAGAAAACGCTAAGCGCTTTTAGACGCTCAGCGTACATGACGTTAATTTTCGCTTAGCTCGCACTTGACTACCGATTTGGGTATTCTCATTTGATGCGCTTAGCGTCTTTACCCATTGCGCTAAGCGATTTGAAAACGGCTACCTACCTTAAAGGATGGTTTGGTTTGACTTGTCGAGCTGTCAGTAAAAATAGAACTAATTGTGATTTTGTGCGTTGCCTTGCTCTTTAGTGAAAAATACTTCTTCTTCTACAAATTCCTCAATAAGGTAACTGATAATTTACGATTTGGCAGCTATAAATATTGTTCAAAACATCGAAAATGCTGAGAAGCCTCTCCATCGTTTCCCTCGTATAATAAGAATAATGACATATCCGAAAAATAGGTTTACGTAACTCAACAATTTATGAAATTTACGTAACATTGATATTTTTCATTGTTTTATCCACATTTGACTGTTGTATGTGCGCAACGCGTATCCAGAACACGATTCGCACGGCAACGAGAATACCAAAATCGACTGCTTGGCGTTCCGCTATACATGGTGTTTCAAAACAAATGCGAAAAACTTCAGGGGGCGATTCCTTGTTCAAAATAAAGGGTAGTTTGCTTTATAAACGTTGGGTCAAAAGTCAACCATTAGGGAGATATCGCGGTACAAAGATGGCGGAAAAATAATGTTTTTATTTTTTATCTTGAAAACAATAAGAGATAGACTAATGAAATTTTATGGGAGCATTACTGTTATGAAAACACACTTTCAGGTAATTTTTTTACTTTTTTAAAATGAGTGGAAGGGGTTGAAATAAACTACCCCTATCATTTTGTTAACGAAATTTAAAGAAAAATCTTATCAAACACATGCAAATGCTTTAATTTGGATAGCTTAGTTTGTTTAGAAACTTTTTTATCTCTTGTGTTTTTTTTGACAAAAATCACCGATTTGAAATTAAAAAATAAAATGTAAAGCATTACATGTCAGGACAAAAAACATTTTTAGATTAAAAATCTAGTGATAATAACGATAATAATAATCATCTAGATAATAACGTCTTGCAGTAGAGTAATGTCAAATAAAATAATATTAGGAACATCCTAAAGTAACAGCGGCCGACTAGATTTTTTCCTAAAAAATTACAGCAGCCCACTAGATTCTTTATCAGAAAATGTTTTTTGTCCTGACATGTAATGCTTTACATTTTATTTTTTAATTTCAAATCGGTGAGTTTTATCAAAAAAATACAAGAGATAAAAAAGTTTCTAAACAAACTAAACTATCCAAATTAATTTGGATAAGCATGTGTTTGATAAGATTTTTCTTTAAATTTCGTTAACAAGAATGATAGGGGTAGTTTATTTCAACCCCTTCCAATCATTTTAAAAAAGTGAAAAAATTACCAGAAAGTGTGTTTTCATAACAGTAATGCTTCCATAAAATTTCATTAGTCTATCTCTTTTCGTTTTCAAGATAAAAAATAAGAACATTATTTTTTCGCCATCTTTGTACCGCGATATCTCCCTAATGGTTGACTTTTGACCCAACGTTTATGAAGCAAACTACCCTTTATTTTGAACAAGGAATCACCCCCTGAAGTCTTTCGCATTTGTTTTGAAACACCCTGTATAATTGAATCAGTGATGGGAATACCGGTTCCACATGAGTCGCGTTACAATAGCGACCGTTCCAGAAAAATACCGCGATTTTGTAATCGAGGTTCCAACTTCCTAAGTGTCGCGGTCCTCGCTTATGTAGTATTTCTGGCATTGGTACCTACTTTTATTTTATACTACCTACCTAGTCCCACAAACCACTGTCAAAAAAAATTCTTTATTGGTGACCGGTTTCGGCAATTCCAGCCATCATCAGACCTTAAAAATAGATATAAACAATAAAACTTATATAAATGTATAAAAGCAAATAAAATTTTCATTTTATTTTATTTGCTTTTACGTTGCATCTTTCAAACAATGCTATTTTATACCATGCTTAGTACATACCAAAAATCGCTATTTCAAAAGTAACGTAGCGACGGGAGCACCAACGCCAATAGTAACCGACCCAATCGCTACAGGCGAAAACGAAACACTAGAAGCGCTCCAGCGATGCTGGAACGAAGTAAGCCGCCTCCGAGGTCGAGCGTCAATAGCCAATTACAGCAGTTACTTCTGTTCGCGACAGGGAACTAAAACTCTAGGAGCGCTACGGCTGGAGCTAAGTAGGCCGCCGCGCCATCGAGGTCGAGCGTCGATGCCCAGTTACAGCAGTTACGCGACAGGGAACTACAACTCAAGGAGCGCGACGGTTGGAGCAAACACGTCGCGATCGCCCGACGCTACGTGTTCCAGTAACTATTGTAGGCGACCGACGAAATCGCGGCGGCTGGAGCTGAACACGTCGCTATACGATTACTACGGTTCAAGCTAACTTCAAGAGCGATTATAAATAATTTATTGGTAAATTATAAATAGTTTATAATTTTGTCGTCATTATGATCGTCGTTCTTCAGTAACAGGTTCCCCATTCGTTGGGGAGCGCGATACGGCGTTACAAAAAAATATCGCTCCAAAATCGCGTTACTCAAATACCGACACATCACTAAATTGAATACTTTCGCTTACCGCTTTGAAATCGTAACGTTTTTATGTCCAGTTCCAGAATTCGGGCTCAGTCGTACGCACTTATTCTTTTACACTCTGTATATTAGGAAGTAAAGATAAATATACTATTAAACTACATAAACGATTTCTGGTTTAAGGAAAACGAGACGCCAATATTGCATTGACGGCGGTTTATGTGTGATTTAATCTCAATAGGAAGTAAGGATACAACGTTGTACGGGTATAATTAATTGTGTCCTAAACATCGATACGGGGTGATAGAGTTAATAAGCTGTCATATTTGGAGCCGATTAATCGGTATACTACCGACCACAAATCGAGACAGGTTATTACTTTAGCACTATTATTAGCAAATTATATTTTTTACTTTGTTTATGCTCTAAATTCATTTTATATAGCATTTTATTGTTAAACTAATGATTATGTTGTGAGGAACCCTGTTCAGATCAATGTGATGAACCGTTGTCGCCAAATGTTGCGATTAACTGCTACATCTAATATTGTAATTACACCAGTTCTGTAATTATGCTGTCACCAATATTGCTGAGTTGTTAAGGATTAAGAAAAAACGCTTTTTGGTATTTGAGAATTTTTTTTTATTTGTGTTTAAAAGGGGATGGAAATTTGGAAAAGTATAAAAGGGATTAACCATTTTAGAACAAGCATAAACCTTTATGAAGAATGCATTTTTCTCAAAAAGTTAATATTAAAAAAGTTTTTCTTCTTGTAAAATCATTGAATCTAAAATCAATCCGGCGACAGCCAGTGATAGTATTTTCTATATGTGTCCAGTTACACTGAACACCCTATAAATATAATTACTTAAGTAGCTTGATTATTACTGTGCCATTTTTTTCAGTTTTAACATTTTAAATTACATGACAACCAAAACAACAATTTTTAAATAAAAGACAACTACTTATTAAAGCCTTGGTAATTGATTAACTTAGTCAAGACGTTACACTTTGTCTATTACATATAAAATCCTAAAATTGTCTGATATATGCGGTCATAATCCGCCATCTGTCTGGCGAAATAACTATAAAATCTGGATGAATCAGGGTTTAGACATCGTAAGTGCTTTTAAAGCCGGCTTTAAAACTTTTAAAAGTTCTTTCGTTTATATTTAGAATGTACTATCGAAGGCTTAAGTCCCTAATAGAAGATATTAATAATACTAAGCAATCTCTTAAACGAAATTATTTTGAATTAAGAATATACTTACATAAGTATTGGATTTTGTGATGTATTATAGCTTTGTTTGTTTTTCAACAGACACTTGCTTGTGCACTTGTATTGTATATTATGTTCCCAAATTTATTCTAGCAAGTTGTTCTCACAAGCTCGTTTGCATCAGTATAGTAAAACGTGAATTTGATTAATAATAATAGATCAATTCAAAATTTCAATGACAGAATAAAACATTGCTTAATCGTAACTGAGCAACAAACTTTGGCTAATTGAATATTGACATTTTTTATTAATGGCTAACTGTGAGTTTTGATACACCTTATTTTGATCTATCTTCTAAAATACTACATCTTTTAGATTATTGAGTGCAACAACTTTCCTTACTCTTTATTTTGTTGCAGAGGTCTATCCGAAGAAGTATTTCCACTGGCAGGGACAGTCTCTCGACGTGGTTATAGAGACTTCGGACAGAATCACACATCAGCTGACCTCGTGGATTTTCTACTATTTTACCAAAGAGGTGTTGGGTTACAGTAGGGTGAAGGTGGTGAACCAGTCGGACGATTTCGATATCGAGAGGGCCATAGAGAAATTGACTGATAAAATTGACCCGTAAGTACTGCATTTTTTATTATTTTACTTCTTACACTATACAGGGTGATAAACTATACAAATGTATAAAAACTTGGTCTTGGTCTTGCATTTGCTCATCAATATGGATCACTCAGTATATTTTAGTATGGTGATATAAGAAGTAATTAGTACACCAGTCACAAATAATATATTATTAATTTATAAAAGCTGGTTAAAGTACTTTTCAGCGCATTTATGAAACCATTTATTTCAATCGCTGTGTGAATTGGATTTGACACCGAATTTGTCGATTTCTTTCCATTCATAATTGATATTTGTTTTTGTTATTAATGTGCGCTTCGATAGTGATCACGAGCGCGTCACGTGACCTCACTTTAAACAATGTCGAATCGTTAAAAGTGCGTTTCAACAACTCATTAGCACACAATTTATATCGCAGGCGCCACTCGCATTAAAGCACTGTTATTTTTTAGGTCTAGGGAATATTTCGATTTTTTTTTCTGGTTGTTATGATTTTCACACAATTTGTTATAAGTGTACAGGGTGTCCAAGTGGTTTTCGTATTTTTTATGATTTTATTTTCGTATACGAATAGAGATACAAAGATATTGTTATTTCTGGGGTACTAGAGATATTAACAGACTATTACGCTGTACTTTCGGGTGGCTCTCAGGGGTCGGATAAAGCGGGTGTATAGGCGAAGAAATAAATATATTATATTTCAGAAATCTTCCTAAGACTTAGCCCGATCCTGTCGTGTTAAGCCACACCTAAAATTCCAAACACACGTGCTTTAATTATAAGGCTTGATTAAGTAGTGATGGGTTGTTATTTAACTATCTGTTATTTTATAACAATTATTTAGAAATAACATAACGCAACTGTTACTACTTCTAAAAAATAACAGATTTAAAATAACGACACGTAGAGATCGACCGCTCGTGAAACGAAGTCGGCGCTCTGCACCGCCACGCAATTCTATGCGGCTCGAAGCAATTCCAAAAAACAACTAGTATGGATGGAAAACATGTTATTTCGACAACCATCGATACAGGCGGCGAGATACAACGGACAACGGAGTAGGGAATGCGCTACGGCGAACGTAGCTGCATCGGTCGCTGGTCGTGTTGGGCTTGCAACAGCTTAAGAATAATAGGATATAAAAGAAACAGTTTTTTTGAAACAGTTGCGGGCATAACGCGTGGCGGTCGAGATAACAGGAGTGGAAAAGTAACGCTGTTGCATCGGTCGATTGTCGATGGAGGCTCGCAACGGGTTGGAGAACAACGTATAGAAAATAAGCAGTCATTTTAGATACGTTGTTTTTTAACCTGTTACGAGCATAACAGGCGGACGTTGAGATACTCGGAGAGGGAAAGTAACGCTGCTGCATCGGTGGATTGTCGATGGAGGTTCGAAACAGGTTGGAGAATAACGCATCAGTTGTTTTAGATACATTGTTTTTCAGCCTGTTACGATCATAACGGACGGAGGTCAAGATATTATGGCGCTGTATGTTTCAGTACTTAGTTATTAAGTTTCAGTTAGTTAGTTATTTTTATTAATATCTTTAAATATATACTTTCATTGTTTTTGCTACATTTTAAAACTCTTCAAAGACAATTTTACTAAGATATACTTTAAGAAATTGTGAATGGTACTTAGAAATTTAGTGATTTATTTATTATAATAATGAGAAGTACCTAATAAAAAATGGAAATAACAATTTAATTAATTATTTAGTAATATGTATCTTTTTCTAAAAAAATTCTTTAGAAAAAAAAGTTTTGAGTTTTTCTAAATTTTCCCAGTCTTAAATTATTACAAATTATATTATTATTGCAAAGTAATAGTCTTGTATTTTTCACCACTGTCTAAGACTATTACTGTTATAGATGGTGATAAGAATAAAAACACTATGTTAAGAAAAGACTGTTTAAAAGGTAGCAAACACATTGAGTATCATATTAATTTTAAATAATGTATATTCGTTGGTTTTGCTGCGATTTAAAGCTCTTCAAAAAACAAATTTACTATTCAGAGATAATGATACAACAAACGATAATACAGTAAAAACACACAGACGACTAAAAATATACTAAATAAAGATATTACTTTTCAACTACTAAAACAAGTAAAGGCTAAATTATACAGACTTTAAATTATTTGGAATCGCACTAAGAAAAATTAATCTCTTGAAATACTGTAATAATTAGATATTACCCTTGTTTATACAGTATGTCCCCGGATTGTCTTTATAAGAGGAAATAAAGAAACCTGTTATATTTTTAAGCTGTTATTTAAAGCTGCTTTTATAAATAACTATAACAGTTTCAACTGTTATCTAAAAATAACAGTTTTGCCCATCACTATGATTAAGGTTTGCAGAGCTTCAGCATTTGCCATATAAATTATATATCACTGTAATCACAAAACTTCAATCTATTTCCGTATTATAAAGGAATTATAAATTATGTTTTTATTTTCGAGAAAATTTAGTCCAAACATAAGGAATATTTTGTTGATGTTTAACCATCAAAATCTTAAAAATAAAGAAGTTGTCTAAAAATGTGCTACAATCCTTTACCTTTAATTTCCTTCTTCATTTGTGTAAAAATACCTAGCCAGTTTTACATAAAACGTTAAATGCCGAACGCTTATTGTGCTACTTTTTCGGATTAGTGAAATCGACTCTTAAATAATCTGAAAACATGAATTTTTGTGGGTAGTCCTGCTCAAATTGTAATAACACCAATAAACGGGATCGATTTTTCCGTTTTTTTACCAAACCAGCCGCTTTTGCATATTAAACAATGGTTGATTAAACAGCAATTATTTTTATTCTTATATTATGCCAGAGTCAAAAAAAAGATGGTGCATTAAACTAATACATTAATTAAAATGTTTTAAGAGATACTAGATATCACTTCAGATGCTTGATTGATAACATATACGTATATATTGCAACAAAAGCCAATATTTTAATTGTTGCTATTTTTGCCGTATTTTACCGTCTAGACGATAAGTTTTTGTGTACTAATTACGGACAAGATAATGCATAAATCATAAAAGCCGTGTTTGTTCAGTTGTTTAAATTACACTATTAAACCACAATAAGGAATTAATTATTTCTAATTAGAAAATGTTTTTAGCAGTAACGTAACAATTATATAAAGTAAATTTATAGGGAGAAAGTTTGACAAGGGAACCAATAACAAAATGCAGAACAGAACAATAATGTAATATTTCTAAGTAGGGGTATTTGTACTGACTGTGACATTCTCTGTTAGAGAATGTCACAGCGTCTTAGCGTTGATTGAAATAATTGGGAAGATACGCAATCTAATGGACGAGTTTGTGACAGACCTGATTTGATTTCCCCTTACGTCTCATGTGCTGTACGGTGGAGACACCAATTGTTCTGCGGTCAACGCATGAAACACTTGTTTTCTCTAATTTGGCCAGCGAAGGCATATCGAAGACGGTGTGGATCGGAAAGCAACAGTGTTATCATATTCTTCTTCTTTACGTGCCGTCTCTTTCGTGGAGGTTGGCGATCACATTGGCAAAAGCTTTACGATTCTCGGCTTTCCTTATAAGTTCTTCAAAAGTTAGGTGAGTCCAGTTTCTGATGTTTCTCAACCAAGATAGTTTCTTCCTGCCGAGACCTCTCTTTCCTTCAATCTTACCCTTAACTATCAATTGTAAGAGTGGTATTTTTCATTTCTCAATATATGCCCTAAGTATGATGTTTTTCTTATTTTTATTATATTGAGCAATTCTCTCTCTCTGCATATTCTGTTGTAGACTTCGGTATTTGTGATATGGGCTGTCCATGGAATTTTAAGCATTCTTCGATATATCCATGTTTCGAACGATTCGAGGCGATTCATCTCTTGAACTTTCAGTGTCCACGTTGCTGCTCCGTATAATAGGATTGACCAAACATAACACTTAACGAGCCTAGTTCTCAACTCTAGGTCCAATCTGGGGTTCTGGAAGACGTTCTTCATTTTTAAAAATGCATTTCTCGCTTGTTCTATTCTGGTTTTTATTTCCACGTCGTTGTTCAAGGTGTTAATTATCCAGGACCCCAAATATTTGAACTTGTAGACCTGTTCTAAGGTATTGCCCTCTATTTTAATAGGAATTGGTACATTTTGGTTGTCATATTAAAATGTGTAATATCTGTAATATTTTTTGACGAAAATATCTTTGGATGAAAAATCCGCGTTTATGTATTGAAAATTTATTCGTGTTAAACATAGAATAAACAACAAAAATAAAAACAAAATATATTATAGATACTGAATATGTCGTATGATCGAAAAAAGTCGTTTAAATGGCTTGGAAATGACGAATTATTGACATTTACCGTAATATTTTACATATGAAATAACAGCGATCTTCATTTCCAAACCAAACTTTGACGCCATTCTTTGTTTAATCATATAATATTATATTAAATTGTTTAATCATAGAAATTCCGTATTATTAACGTGCTGTAACCAAAATCTGTAAATCTACGGATTAATCCGTAGTTCTGGCAACACTCTCTCCGGCAACCACTCACTCTGTCGACTGAAAGCGGAACTACGGTACAGTATTTTTTATCCGCTGCTCTGTAAACGACTCTCAATCAGCGCGCAGCGACGCAGATCTAAACTAAATCTCGGAATTCTCGGATAGGCTGACGGTAACGCCAGCTACAACTCGGACAGGTTTTGTACCAGGAAATCGCCCATAACGTTGTGCATCTTCTTATTTCTTCTTAGCTTCAATCTATTGAGGTACTCATTGAGGAGACAGTGTCAAAGATTGTTCTCTGCGAAGACTGTTCTGAAGAAGATTCTCTTTCTTGACAATTCTTTTTATAAATGGAACGTCAGAAAAAATCAGACGAATAACCAAACAGTTAAAATTTAGGATGAGTGCGAGGAAGGTTAATCACTGCGACCTTACAGATCTATTGTGTCAAAGCCAGTATCTGCGACGGTTTTACAGAGGGTAGTTCTCCA